TATGGATAACCCAGCTCCCTGTGTGCTGACCTCTCTTGTGATTTTATAATAACGTTACACATATTTCACATCTTTCGTCCTTCTTGAGAACAAGAAGTACAGCTAATTTAACTTCAACATCACCACCAGAGCACTTATGATTATCAGCAGCTAAAAAGTGGAAATCATGTTAAACTGGAAATTTAACAACTTATGACACACGCTACATATGGGATATCGTAATGAGCAGCTCATGGGAATGTAATTTACATTTGATAATGATGTCAGACTGTTGAGTGTGCCATTGTGCTGTATGTATCTCCTCCACTAAGTGTGCATACAGTGCAGCAGCAGAAAGATCTTTTTAACATTGCTTTTGAGAGATGCCATAATATGATTCAAACAAAGCCACACAATACCATTCTGACCACACTCACATCTAATTATATTCCACCACATTAAGGCCTCTGACACATTCATAGCAGCCTTTTAAAGACATTCACGGGCTTATATTTATGCCTCCAACAGAATGCAAATGAGGCAGATTTACCCCTTTGACTGGAGAATAAGTGTGAAAACAGTTAATTAGACTTGTTGTGAGGTCTCTGGATGATTTTTGCTTCTCCCCTTCCTACTACAGGAAATAGAAAACTGTGAATGTTTATGTGAGATGTTAAAGCAGTTTTCAAGGCTGACTACATAAACTATAGATACGGTATGTAATGTACCTGAAAGCAGGAAGTTAGACAGTCGCATCTGAAAACAACAGCAGTCTCTGTACTGCGAGCACAGAAAATACCTTCCAAAGGAAGCAGAATTTAAGCTAAATTCTCTGAAGTGTCACTTTGTTTCAGTTGCACTTGTCTTTTCCAATTAGAGGATGTCAAATGTGACTAACCTCATTCTTCACACACTTTTACATCATTTTTCTTAAAATAACAACCTGCATTTGGTCAAGTGTGCGAGACAGTGTGAAGAAGCAGAACCAGTGGGGCGTGTGGTCTGGCCTCTGATCTGTAAATTGGACTAGATTTATCCATTTTAACTAATGACACTAAAATGCTGTGATGTTGAGGTTATGGAGCAGCAGACTAGATGAAACTAAGAGGTGGAGCTTCTTAAGCAGTGATGAAATACTTGGCAATATTGTACAGATGTGGCAAGCCAAACTGAGCCTCTGTTTGAGCTAAGAAGCGTGTTTCTGAGCGGAGCATGTGCAGCAAGCAAGTGTCCATACATGTCGCCTTAAGGCTGCCTCTGCATTGTTGCCCCCTTACTCTAAATATATGATAAAACACAAGATCGGGAACCCAAAAGACTGATTCTGCTTGAAAAACATGACAAATATCTTATGTCTCAAACGACATGGGACATAAATGAAACAAGTTTTTACTCTTATTTAGTGCAATTTGGATATTTAATCACAGTTACAACAGATACAAACTGACACAGCCTAGCATCATATAAACTGTACATAATAAATCATCCTTGTATAGACTATTTTCTTGTTCTCTCTCGGGTGGGATACTTGAACAGACTGCTGCTTGTAGGTCTTTGTTTACAACCAGCCTAATGTAATTATACTCACCACCTACTCACAAATTAGCATGCAAACTGTGTCGGAGGGTTGAAAAATACATGGAGGAATGTGATTTAGTGCGAGGATAGGTCTGATCTTCGAGGCAATGTTTCTGCAGCGCTGCTCGGTGACCTGAGGTCGTCGGACCTCACAGCTGCAAACGTAGCAAGCCGGCCTGAGCAGGACTGAGGCTAATAAGCTCCAAAGTACTCCATTTAGACACACACGTACAGTGCAAAGACACACAAATACACACCCACGGAGCTTGGTAGCCGAGCTATAGCATTGGAGCTCTTATCTTCGCTGAACAAACTCCTCGAGTGATGGGAATGTTCTCAGGATGTTATCTTGTCCTCTGTGGAAATGAGATAGCCAGCCACCTTTATCACCACCCTCAGACTCTGGAGGGCCTCTGACCATTACTGGAACAAGGACCACTAGGCTGCCAGGGGACACTAACCAACTGGCTGCCTGAGAAAAGAGACTGCCAGGGAATTGTAAGCACTGCAAGTGGAATGATTGGAAACAGTCTTATGGTTAGGTGGTTTAACCCAGCCAAGGGAGTCAACTCTATGTCTTGAAGGCCGTTTTGGACTCTACAGTTGCTATGTGGACAGGATGCTGGATGTTTGAACAAGATGAAATGTTAAACATGAAGAGAAGTCATACTGAGAGCCTTGACACATTATTAAAAAGGATATAAGAAGAGAGGAGAAGAAAATCTAAAGAAATCGGGGAAGCTAGACATTAGTTATAATTGGCAAAAGAATAAACAGAAAAAAAACTTCTTTGAGATATGTGATTTAACCGCAGCATCTCCATGGCAACTCTCTTTTCAAGTCACCTCTTTAATGAATAGGTAATGGACAAAATGCTAGATGCACAACTTCATAACGTCAGATCAGATGCCAAAACTGACGTGAGGAGAAGAAGAAAAAAAGGTAGATTTTGTTTGACAAAAAGTGATTTTGCTGTGCACACAACAGAGTATGTCAAAACAGCACAGCAGCCTTTTTTTGAAAAGAAAAAACACACACACATACATACAATGTACCAGGGCAACACATATCTTCCTTCTGTTGCTGTCATTTTGACTGTCTGGCAAATCCACCTCTTGTTTTCAAAGCATTTTTTTCCCTAACAGGTGCAAAACCTCTCAACTCAACACATCAAAGAGACACATGCACCTGCGAATAAATCACAGCAAATGGTAAGAATCCAGACTAGGGCCTCCTAACACCAAAGAGGTAGGATTCAAAGTGTCTGATTTAATATTCATGAAGTGCACGGCTTTGGTGGTTGAATGCTTGTTTACTGAGATGTGTCTTTTGTCCTTGGGAGAAGGTTTGATATTCCACCAAGGAACTGTATTTACATATACTCTGGGTTTTTGCCTCTACATGATATAACACACATATCTCCCCTAACATGGCACATACAGCGCACACAACCACATACTGACTAATGATTGACACGCCATTCAGCGCGCTCTCCTAAGAGTTTCTCGCTCCCCTGTGAAGTATTAAAAGCTTTACTGCTATTCCCGAACAGAGCTAATGAGAGTTTTTGATTATGAACTGTTGGTGGCTTCCGTGCGGAGGAGTTGTTCAAGTTGTGACAAGTCCAAGAGGAAAGTATAGTCTGCAAACTGCACCCACAGGGACAGAGGTGGCAGACAACCAGTGGAGACCAGACAGAACCAACTGTCAAACATAAGCACAGGTGTTTTTCATTAATAAACACTTACTTCCCGCTCAACCCTTCAACACGACTGCACCTCTTTAAAAAGTGTTTTAGATTAATTCAAGTATGATCTCACCACCAAGAATGTTTAGCAGCTATATACAGCAGGCTCATGTTTCAGTGAAATGGCAAGATAGGGTTAAAATAGAGCTGATAACCTTTTTTTTTTCCCTCCCCACTGTGCACCTGTTTTTTTCTGTTTTATCAAAGGTATTGTCTTTACAACCCCTCGCCCTGCAGCTTGGTGTCAGTCGTGCACCTGCAGGCAACAATGTGTGAGATAATCTCAAAGTGAAATCACAAAGGGGCGGCAGTTCCAGATGGATGTCTCACAGCTCTCTGGTCTTGCTATATAAAAACTGTGATATGTATGTCACCTTTTAAAAGTGAAACAAACTCCCACAAGGTCGACACTGCATGTGGAACAGCTAATTACTATACGGCTGAAAAAAGGCTTGTGAGAAAAACCCATCTCCTCGGTGGGTACTTAAAGAAAGAAAGCAGCTGGTCAGAACGTATTCCCTAGAGAAAACATCAGCTATTGGAGAGAGTGGCTGGGGATACTGTTCTCTTAAGTGCTTTTGTCAGAGCAGTGTTCTCTGTTATTTCGCTCCCATGCTTTCTCCTCTCTTGTATGGGCGGCACACACACACATATCCATCCCTTTCATCCTCAGGGGTGAAACAAACCCATGCATTATGACTCAAATCAAGCTTAATTTATTTCACATGCTCTAATGTAATGTCATCATGTTGATATGCATTGAATAAAAATAGCTGGATTCTTTTCTGAATTATTTCCCCCCACACACTTTCTCCAGAGCATGCACATTACACAGGGGTTTTGGTTATTACATTTCTCACACAACTTGGCTGTTGAACAACTCAGTGGATCGTTAGGCCAACTGATAACTCATGCAGACCTGCTGCCCTCTGCTGGCAAAATTGTGAACTACCAGTAATCTACACAGGGCTCCTAAAGTGGCTCTGACTATGCATGATTGTCTTTAGATGCCTCCATTATGCATTTGTAGTTTATTGCTTTTTTTT